AATCGGAAGTGAGTGTTTGTAGGTTCATAGTGGTGCATAGTGAAGGAGAGTATGCCACTGATTTGATCTAATAAGCACAATTCTTTTGAGTATAGGAAAACTTCAGTTATGCTTTACTGGGATGGATTAGTGCGTACACCTGTGTAGTTCAGCCTTATCTTGGATAATTCGCCTATACATGACTTGTGTCAGATTTCGACTCAAGAAACATGTTTAGTAAACCTGTCTGACATGTAAAATAAACCGAAGTTCAGGGGAGTAGAGCAGTTATGACCAAGTCCAAATTTATACAAGCTGACTAGAATGGGCACTAATGGGGAAAGTGTTGAGAAATAACGAGGATGGTGGGAAAAAGGAGTAGCTACACCATTTATGTGCTCGACCACCACATCAGCTTAGCATCTACTGGTGGGCCGGTTAACTCTTAGAGCCTTCTAGAAAATCATCACAACACGCAGTGCAGTCTTCAAGTTTCCAATCGAACAGAGCTTTCACGCTCTGAGTGCGAGTTGCTGTTGATTGAAGTTGATGCATGAAGCGCGTCAAATTCTGTGCATCGCTATGAGCATCAGAAGCACGGCTTAAAAACTATCGTAGCAACAAGCTCGTCGAGTTAAGGAAGTATGGTTCTGAAAACCACTTCTGCCAGGTAACACTTCATTTCGATTTTCAGGGTGGAGTGAGGCTGAGAAAGACAAGAAGGAGCGAATCTGTCGATTTAACATTGTCCTCAGTCATTAAATAAGCTTTAAGCTGTCAGTGGTGTTCTAACAGGCAATTAGCAGTTGGCTTATGTGCTGCAGTTCGAACAATTTTGTATTCCAGTAGTTTTCGAAGTGTCTTGAGGCTAACAGCTTCCAATTGTTGGCTGACATTGTGGAATGGCATCTAAACTGTGTAACCCATCTTATCATAAAAACTTGACGAATTGTTTAAGATGAGGTATATATATAGCTTTAGGCAGAGAGAAGAGGTCTACACATGTGGGTATGTATGAACGGTCATTGAAAGGTGACAGTGAACTAACGATATACAGATGAGCATGATTAAAAGGTGCATCAGGCGTGGATAATAGTGCAGCACGATTTTCAGCACTGACATTGTATCCCAGAACGTGTCCAATTCTTTCCGGGCCGACAAACCTGGTTGATACCAACTTGTTCGTAGTACGTGTGGGGTTATGTACCAATTCAAAAAATTGCCTTCAGAAGTGTTAAATATGTGATACCCTTGCTAATGTCAAGAAGTACGCGTTATCTCTTCCGAGGAGTCTAGTGAATAAGTTTGTCTATACTCATATCGAAAGTTTGAAGTTCAACCGTTTTCCTCAAATCAGTGGTTGGGGGAACTGCAGCAGTGCAAATTCGAGACAACGTATCTGCAACAAAATTATTCATACTGGAGACATGGTGAATGCCCTATACGAATTGCAAGATGTTATCCCAGTGACAAAATTCACACGGCGAGTATCTTTCCATAAGGGTGTGAAGGACATACGTGGCTTTATGATCTGTGGGGGCAGTAGACTTCCAACCTTCATAGAAGTGTCAGAAGTGTTTTATGGAAGCGTAGACGGCCAACTTTTGAAGACCAAAAGTGCTGTATTGCATTTCGCATGCAGTGAACTTCCTGGAAAAGAAACCAAGAGATGTGTATTTGTAATTCCTTAGTAATAGCACGACAGGCATGTTAGATGGTATCTAAGGTAATGCTGAGAGTAAAACCGACGTCTAGATGCACCAATGTAGTGGTGCCTGCAATGCTTACCTTCATTTTTCAGACGCTTTCAAGATTTACGGGGTTGAGAATAAAGTTTTGCACTTGCCTTTTAGAAGATTTGTCAGTGCAGTTAAAATAGGCACTTATTGCAGAACAGAACAGCAAAGATAACTTACCAATCAGAAAATGTGCAAGAGAATCCGTGGGAAATTGTGGCTGGAAACTTCTGAATGGCATGTACCATTTTTTAACATGGGACTAATGCCATTTCCATCTAATACATGTCCCAATGAAGTCACTGAGTTGATGCCAACCGCACATTTCACTAGACTGACTGTCATAGAATGTTTCAACAGTTTCCTGAAAACCTGTTGTAAGTGATTAGAATGTTTCGATAAAGAAAGACCATATTTGCAGCATAATTTATTTTGAAAATTTGAAAGGTCCTTGTCAGCTGCAAACCACCTTAATTTTCATTGGTTATAAGTAATGACAATAACATGCTTCAATGTTTGAATGGTAGTAGAGAAAACATTTATAAAATCATCGCATCCGAAATATAAGCATTACAATTTTTGGTTTAATTTACCATCAGTTTATATTCGTTCAAAACAGAAAAGGAGAGAACGGAGGGAAGAGAAGATGGATAACAGAAAATAACCTAATAAACAGTGTTAGCTTGTAGGTTTACACAGCAACTCAAGATGTCACTTTATACTGCAAATCTGGTCTTACTTTCTTTATCGAAACTTATCAAGGGAACCAAATGTATGATTACAGTGTATTTTTGCATCTGGATAAGTTAACAAGAATATCGTCCAGATATATACATCAGCGAAGTCTATCTAGTCTACTCATCACAACATGAATGAAATGTTGGGAAGTCTACGTGATATTGTACAAATCGAAGGGCACGCGTAGAAACTTGAAAAGACCAAAAGAGGTGGCGATTGCAGTTCTCAGGACATCATGAGGGTGAAGTGCCTAGCTCACTGGTTTGAACGTAGAACTTTGCACTGATATGCAGCAGTTCAACTTGACACACTTCGAAGAAAAAAGAGGAGACAGTAAAGAAAGATTGAAAATAAAGTGTCAGCTAACACTGTCAGTCGAGGAAGGCGATGGCTAGGCATGCGTCACACATGTCCTAACCATCACAATCGAAGTAACTTCGCAACCTCGTCGATTGATTTCCTCTCTTTACCTTACTTAGCACTCGACGCCTAACCTTAATATTGCTCACCCTACTATCCCACTTCACACGGGAGATAGAACCCAGGCACCTATGATCAAAGACAGCTAGCCAGCCTTTTCGTATCTTCCACTTTCAATGGCCAAGTTTCACCCACAGCCATAAAGGAGGATAGAACGAACTACTGAACAGTACACACGCCCTTTGGTCGATAGCCAGCCAGCTGGATATCACTTCTACTCCAGAGACGGCGTAAACTGGCATATGCGAAACTAGGCGTCTGTGTCCGCGCTGAGATTTCGTCAGCGATCAACCCGTTGGGGCTGATGCAACTTCCCAAATGTGAGGCGGTCAATGTGCTCTACCACTTCACTCCCTATTTCTAAGCTAGGAGTCAATGTAGTCCAGTCCTGTAACATCACCTTACATTTGGTGGAAGCAAATCACATGCCAACATAAGCAGATTGCAGCTCTAGGTGTTCAGAAGATTCTGCTCTATTTTGTCAGCGTCTTCACCTAGTAGAGAGAACTGTACCATTTGTACGTTCTAGGTCAGCGAGATTAATCCTGTGTACAAATAAATCGCCGAGTCTCTGAAGTGAGTTAGAGTTAATTCCATTAGTACAATATCTATGATGAAATTGAATAGAAATGAGGATAAAGGGCATCCCTGACGGACACCACTTGTCGTCACCACAGTTATCAGATGACAACTCACCGTATGCTCTCACCTGGCTGACTACATGAGTTCGACTAGAAAGCCTTGATCAGTGAAACGTATTTCCTCGGCATCCCTCTCACAGCCAAACATTGCCAGAGTACCTCTCGGTCGACCAACTCGAATGCTGCCTTCAGGTCAAGAAATATAACGATTGTTGGAGGTCGGTAAGTATGCGTATGTCCCGTTACAGAATCTGTCGAAGGGTGAAGATATGATCAATACATCCTCTTCCTGGTCTAAAGCCTCCCTGCTTCTCTCGTGTTTGTTCATCCTGTGGACCACTTAGTCTACGCATGATTATTGAGTCTTGAACTTTAGATACCATCTTAGTCAAGCTAATCCCTATGTGATTATCACAGGAAAACTTGTCTCCCTTCTTGTATATGGGGGTAATCACTGATTTACTCCAATCTGATGGGACTTCCTCTGATTCCCAGACGTTGCCTAGTATCTTGGTTAACGCAAACAGTAAACTGTCTCTACCGTCCTTAAATACTTCTGGAGTCATTCCATCAGGTCCTGCCGCTCTGCCCGTTTCAGACTACTGACAGCTTTTGTAACCTCAGTTAGGGACGGAGGAACTGTGTCTACATCCCATTCAGGGACGTATTGCCTTTACCACTTGTTTCCCTGATAAGTCTAAATGGTTGTCTGGTGTTACTTATCATATACTTGGTTATTATTATTATTACGAGTTCATAGATTTCTTGATTATTTCGGTAACCCATAATATTGTAAACAAGGTTCAAAACTGAGGAATGCATTGGATTCTGTTTCACGAAGATGACTGGCTATATTGCTTTCATATTCAGTCAGTTTAAAAATAAATAGTGAAATTTCTGGCTACTTCATATTCCAGACACATGTAGACTCACAAAATTGAGTCTAAAATGGAGTTAGTCAGATTCTGTATACACGCCTATTAATCCTCCTTCTTTTGTAAGACGTCTACACATTCACACATAACTGACCGATTCATCGACTGATATATGGTGGACTGTGATATCTATATCACTCTACATTCGTGTTGCAAACACAAATCTATGACACTTCAATCAATTTACACACACACACACACACTGGAGTTAACTGCCCGACTAATCAAGCAAGTTAAGGTAATAATCATTAATTCTCAAGTGAGTTCATTTTTCTAGGTGTAAATACTTTTCACTTTAATGAAAGATAATATTATTTCTTCAAAAAACAAACAAAGACAAGTATTGATGGATATATTGAAAGGAGAGACGGAAGACAATTGGTTATTTAGACAAACAGAGATAGATAAATAAATAAATAAGTGAATAAATAAGTAAATAATTAATTAAATAAATAGGTAAATTGTCACGGTACATGTTCTATATTGTTCTTCTATTGTTCTCGATTTAGTCGTGATACCACTCGGATAAGTGCTCGATGTTCAGCATGCAACTTTTCTGATTCAGCTCGTAATTTTTCAAGTAACTAAGGCATAAATAAAAATATAAAGCAGAACAATCACAGTTAGAAATACTGAATACATATTTTTTTTTCAACAATAACAGAAGAAGAAGGCTATGTCTACCCATAGAACAACCATCTGCAATCTATTAATTAGCATAACAAGTGAAACACTAAGTAATTCGAATGATACTGATGTGGTTGTGTTCTCTGAGCTGGATGGTTGATTTGCGAAGCTTTCATCACCCTGCTAGATGACATCTTCAGCGCATACTTCAATTCGAAGTGAGCATTTAGATTTCTCTCCTGTTGACCTTGCACGTGATTGGTTGTTTTTGTATGTTTTCACACCTTCTAGACTACTTGTATTGGAACTGACTGTTTGTTTGACTTGAACTTTAACCCTTTGTATGTGAAGTTTCTTCTCTTATCGGTTGATAAATTTTGTCTATCTCGATGTGTCTATTGATTGATGATTCACTGGAATGCCAGACAAGCTTCTAAAAATTCTCTGGCATTCTTGTTGTTTCCTCTGTCTAATATTTGAACGTTGTCCCTGTCGAATTAATGTCCGTGGTTGCCTGTATGTAGTGGTATTAGGGAGTGGATATCATGTCTTTTGATGGCTAGCTTGTGTTCGTGAATATGCAGGCGAAGGGGACGTCCACTTTGGCCAATTCGACTGGGACAACGTTCAAATATTAGACAGAGGAAACAACAAGAATGCTAGAGAATTTTTAGAAGCTTGGCTGGCATTCCAGTGAATCATCAATCAATAGACACATCGAGATAGACAAAATTTATCAACCGATAAGAAAGAAACTTCACATACAAAGGGTTAAAATTCAAGTCAAACAAACAGTCAGTTCCAATACAAGTAGTCTAGAAGGTGTGAAAACATACAAAAACAACCAATCACGTGCAAGGTCAGCAGGAGAGATGATTAATAAACTCGTGGAGAAATCTAAAAGCTCACTTCGAATTGAAGTGTGCGCTGAAGATGTCATCTAGCGGGGTGATGAAAGCTTCGCAAATCAACCATCCAGCTCAGAGAGCACAACCACATCAAAATCATCCACCTGAGCTACAAATCTTCTCTATCATATCTAATTCGAATGATATGCGCTTATGTATCAAACTGAATACAATGAAGCCAGTTAGCTATTGTCACATAAAAGTTGTCCTGTCGAGTAGTGTTCTGTATGTGATTCATAACTTTAAAAAAAATATTTTTACCATTACTTAGATCACACTGTTCACACACCTCAATAAATAATCTGTTACACACACACACACACACACGGGAATAAATACAGGCGATCAGTTGTCCTTTATACACCATAGGATATAACGATGGTTTGATTATGCAAGATCCAAGCACAGAAAAAGAAAGGCTCTTGTGAAATTTGCCGGCCTACATCAACACTGAAGTAGACGTGATACACGGTCATGGATCGAATGACGTGTGTTTTGCGCAGCCACCCACCAACTCTTTCCTTTTTTTTATGGCCAGTGAGACATGGCCAATGAAAGTGAAAGATATATAGAAGAGCTTTATTACCTTTGATCATAAATACTTGTGTTTGATCTCTCGTGTGAAGTGGTATAATGAGTTGATTATTACTGAGGTCAAGCGTAGAGTGTTAGGTAAGCAGGATGAATCAATCGATGAATTTGCGAAACCATATTGATCGAGATGGCTAGGATACATATCACGCATACTGTACTGTCTCCATCGTCGAGCAATGTTGACCAACATATGATTAGGCTTGAAGAAGGTTAGAAGTGATGAAATCAAAACCTGGCACCAATTCATGAAGACTTTCACTGTTGAATTGAGCCAGCCATATAGGGAGGTGTAGACTATCCGGATGGGGTTTTCGGGAAACTAACAGTCAATGACCTGAGACAGTTAGTTGGTAATATGCCTAAAAATCGTTCTCAGTGGAGCAGATGCATTAACCCCTTGTCATCTCCAAGACCGATTGATTAAATCCTCATATCTCTTCATGTACTTATTCATCCCTCCACATGTTTCCGTTCATCACAGCTCTATTCAATTTCTTCTCTCTAATTTTGCGTGTTATATGAAGTTTCCCAACTTGAACCAGTGCACTTCTTCACAATGGTCTACACTGAAAACTCGATCTCAGTCAACTATCGAATTTACTTGAATAGACTGTGCTTTAATATTTGGGCTACTGTAACATTTTAAGACTTCAAATTAATAAATAACGTTTTCTTTGTCACTGTGGTTTGATGAAGAATGTTCTGTCTCTTTAGCTATCAGTCAAAATGTTCTTCAAGGTAGTCACATAATCTAAGAGTGTTTCTCAAGAAACAATTTGGTAATTTTCGTTCATCATTTCTAAGTGGGTAGTGTTGCAAACATATGAAATGATGATTGAGGTATCAAACTGTTGCAGTTTGTGAATCATCTGGTAATGGTGTGGCCTTCGATAAGCAATTTAACAACTAATTCTGCCTCACTACATTAATAATGCTTACAGTGCACCACTACAACGTATGCTGCACTCATAAACTTCGTTTTCACATTTAATATGATGATAAGTGGTAAGTTTGACTCGGTATTTCTGATTATTCAATAATAACATAAGCGAATAACTAACTGATGAAACCAAAGAGGATGTTTGAAGAGTGTTTCAAATTAAAGCTAACTTTGAGCAAAGAAAGGACGAATATATTTGCAGGGGGTAATGCAATCTGCTCTCCTTTCATTTCATCGATTCATTTCAACTGTGAGTACATTGCAAAGAATATCAGGAAATACAATCCACAAAATTCCTGATTACACCTTTCTCACAATGACTTTAGGTCATGCATAGAAAAGTGTAGGCAACATAACTCCCAAATGATGCGAGTAAACCGTTTGCTCAAAAGCTATAATAATAATTTAAGTATTGGTCAGTTTCATTGTATAGACGGACTTCTTAATCGACCTATCATTTCTTAGGTTTATGTTGCAGTCTAGGGATTGGAAGTGTCTGTGTCATAACTTTGCGTTTAATTTTCAATCCCACCCTCTTGAACTTTCCATCACATTAAGTATCACTTCACTCGGTTGTTTGATCTTGTTTACTGTCTCCAGTCAATGTTTGTTTCTAAGAAAATTCTGAACTCCGCTCCCACTCTTGTCTAATTATACACAATAAACAGTCAACCCTTTAACATGGAATAATTTGTTTACTCGCATCATTTGGGAGTTATGTTGCTTACACTTTTCTATGCATGACCTGAAGTCATTGTGAGAAAGGTGTAATCAGGAATTTTGTGAATTGTATTTCCTGATATTCTTTGCAATGTACTCAGTTGAAATGAAACGAGAACAGCTTGTATTACCCTGCAAATATGTTCTTTTTATCCTTGTTCAAACTAATCACAGAAATTAGTTGTATGAAATGAAAGTCAACTGAGTGATGCTCTTCATGGTGATTCATTATTCCAGATGGACTTGTTATTTGTGCTTGCTTACAGCAGAAACTCTCAAATGTATATTCTTAGTGAGGTCGAAAAGTAGCTTTACTTTTAAGCATATATATATATATATATATATATATACCTGCTCCTTATAACTATTTTATAATCTCATGTGCAGATGGCAATCAGTAATTCAAAACTGGAAAGTTCGTTACTCACTCCTATTCATATCAGCCTCTTAGATGATCATTGAAAATCTCAAGTTCTGTGTATATTAATTTATTATCAGTCCTAACCTAATACAGATGACTTTTTATCTCCGCCAACGAATAAACAGACGTCAATTCAATTTCTGCTGAAAAGTGAAGATCAGATAAAGCTTGGAATAAGAATGAAACTTATGCACTGTGATAGAGTATAATTCCATTATGAGCAGTAATAAATTGTGCTCGAAACGTGGTCATTAGTAAATAATTACCGTAAAACAATACTGTGAGACTTTATCAAAATAAATTTTACCCATAAAGCTTTGAATAACTTGACGGAAATTCACATTCTAGCCCATTAAAGAAACACTAAGTGTGTATTAGGCAAAAATGCATAAGGCGAAAATAAACGTATGGCTTACTTTAAGTTCTTGTTCACATTCAGAAATTCGCCGTTCCATTTTCTTTAATGGAAAAAAAATAGGAGGTCGGTGAAGAGAATAAACAAACAGGCCTATCTTGGCCAGATTGGATCACGAGCTGACATCAGTTAGAGAATCACTGAAACATCAGGGAGTACTCTACAACAGTTCCCTCTTAATCTGGGACTCTTCAATAGTCAGCAGTCAGTCGGGATTAGAACCCAGAATCTTCCGGTTACAAGGAAAGCTCGTAGATCATTCAGCCACAGTGAGATGCAATCGAGAATTGCCCACGAATTCCAATTCTTGTCAGTTCACGATATATACATAATAATGCAACCATCAGCCAATGTCATAGGCGATGTCAGCTAGTGATCGAACCTACAATCACTTAAATCCCTGCAAAGCAACACATTTTGAAAATGCTTAGCTTTAATTTCGTAACCCCGCTACAAGAGTATACATAAAGAGATTAACTCTAGAGTCTAAAGCATAACTGCTCATAGTGAGAGTATACTATTTTTGAGAAAAGAGAAACACTCATTCTTGTTTACTTCTCATTGCATTCTAATTATTTTAGGAACAATGAACATTGATATAAGAATAGAAATTGAGCACTGTGATAGAGTATAATTTAGTAAATATTACCGTATAACACTTTGAGATTTCATCAGATAAATTTCCACCCTAATGGAACAATGAATACACTTTACCTTAACTCAGTGGGATATATATTATGAAGTTGCTTGAAGTAATCCTAAAATGTTTAGAAAATCAAAACAAGATTTTTCAGGAACTTTTCACTGTGTATCTATGCTACACAGCTCCTTGAACAGAATTACTCAGATTTTTTTTAATCAAAATGTATGATCAAGAATTATGTAAGTTGAAATGAACGTTCAAGAAATTCTTGTTTTCGTTGTTTTAAACAAGCTGGGATTACTTTAAGTAACTTCATGATGATTCGGTTTCACTTGACCCTTAAGTTATTCCAGGAATTTGTAACATTTATGGTTTGGATGTTTATAATCGATCCGTATGTACTTTACGAAGAAGTTAATGATATAGAGATGAAGTCACATGAAAGTTATCCTCCTAATGGAAAAATGTAGTTAGCCACACCTCAAAAGTAATACAATGAAATACTTTGTATTAGACTATCCTCAAGTTACAACATCAAACTAAAGACTACAACGAAAGTGTGATGTGAATAAATATTTCCATTACTGCGTAGTTTAAACGTGTACTGTTGTTTGTGAGTCAGTGGCACAGCGGTTAGGACTCTTGTCTACCATGCACATGGTCTGGAGTTCGATCCCCTGTCGACGCACACTTGATATCTATGGTCGGCCTGCAAAATTTGAGTTACCGATATCACATGCTGAAAATTCCATGCTTATTATACCAAAAATACAGTGTGGAATCAAGGTATAATCTAAATTCAAAAAAAAAGATTAAATATACACTACAACTAATACTGTAGAATACAAATTTATTTGTTTAGTATTTCGTCTCCTTCAAATAGTTTACTGTTTTAATCAGGTTCAGCTATTGCAGATTAATCACTAGAAATAATTATTACAGAAAGTAGTTAGTCGGTGGTTCAGAAGCAGAATACTCACCAACCACTCACGTGATTCGGAGTTCGATCGCCGACCGATACACTCCTAAACCTTATTCGGGTAGTAAGCCCGGGAAAGAGGAGAGGTTGGGCATGAGGCTAGTAAAATCCCTTCCCACGCCATTCCAAAGGAAGAATAACACCACTCCTAGTGAAGTTCTAAGCTCGAGCTTGAAGCCCTATGCTCCACTCAGAACACAAAGCAATTAAAAAAATATAACAGAAAGTGGTAATGAAGTACTCTGACTAATTCCATTTATCAATGGAGGGTATTTACAGTGGCTGCAGTTTGAGACGTCACTTTGCAATACCTGATGGAGAAGTAGGCGTTCTAATTATTGCTAGATGTTTGTTGACTGCACCTGTTGGTGCTGCAACGTATACACAGAGAATAAATTTTAACTAGAAAAAAATTTAAGAAAAGAAAGAATTTTGTTGGTGATATTTTACACAAAGTACACTAATGTAACAATATAACTACTCTCGTCTCAGTTTGAAGGAAAGCAAAAAGAGAAAGCTGTTGTTCAGTGTTTAAATTTTCGTTTTCTTTATGAGAGAGAGAGAACTTTGCACTTTCAGACTAGACAACTCATTCAATCTCAGATTACCAACATCATGTGATAAAATGTTCCGCATAGACTTACAGCTTTAGCACTGAGCACAAGTTTAAACTTTGTGCTGATTCTATATAGTACCTACTTCGATCGAATATATATATATATATATATATATATATATATATATATATATACGTCTACCTTCATCTCATATTACCTCCACTGTTCTAGAACACGTCGTTTTAAAAATGACAAAATATTTGTATTTGTGCTTAGTGGCAGAAAACATCCAGTACATATGCTGACTTCTATTCACCTTTCCAAACTTCACAAATGTAAACTAAACAGGGAGTGAGAAGAATATCCACCTTTCTGTACTACTCTTGCACGTGTCAAATCAAACCTAGGCTGGTGCGATGACCACAAGTAGAACATTACCAGGACATTTTCATGACAGTTAAGATACCGAAACAATAGAATAAACAGGTTGTAAAAATCAGCGGTGTACGAATATAACTTAAGAGTAAAGTCATCATGAACAACATTTGTGTCATAACTATTCATCTTTCATGTTTCAGCCAGATATATGATACTAGTCTCAAGAAATCGGTCTAGACGAATGCGTGAATCTATGGAAAATAATTCAATAAAAATAAGATTTTGCCGTCGATTCAATTAAACAATTAAGAAATATCTCCCTGCCCAAGAGGTGTCTCTCGTGACGTGATTGGTTGAGTGGATAACGCTTTGGCGTTCAAAGCTATGGGCATCGGGGTCGAGCCTCGGTGGGAACATCATCACTCACTAGGAAGTGCAGACACATCTAGTGATGAGTCCCAAATAAGGCAAAGTGAGCATCCTGGATTCCATTGGGTAGTCACCATTCACCAAATGACTTCAAGTATACAAAGAAAGCACAAAAGCTATTCCCCAATCAATCTACACTCACTAATTCTGTCAACTGATTACTTTGAAAGCAGCGATTAGTCACTCAGAAAAATTTTAAAAGAATGCAAAATCAAGAATAATCCACTAAAATATTTCTGACTTCAGAGTAGTCTCCTTAACCCGTTAACTATGAAGCACTGACAGAGTGTTGAGAGACCTCTGCTATTTTAAATTCAGTGAAAACTCCAATGGAATTGAATCACATAGGTGAATGCATAAAATAATACTAGTAGTATAAAATGCAATTAAAAACTAAAATGTTTGTGATTATTATCATACTCAAATGTCCAGTGACAAATACCCAATGGCTGAAAGGTATACGAGCTTGCCTTGTAACCGGAAGGTCCTGGGTTCGAACCCCCAGTGAGCGAGTACTCCCGATGATTCCCCAACTAGAATAAAACGTCTGTCCAGTACTTCCTTGTTTCCAATGGTTCTCCAACTGATATCAATCCGTGGACAAACTCGTATAGCAAAATATAATCCTTACAAACCAAACTCTTGAAACACAATTAATGTCATCTATAGAATAATTCATTAGATGTATAGAACTTGGAAGGGGTGTGCAATTATAGGATTAGTAGGCAAATCGAATAAAATAAAAACGCTACGTAATATTGTATGAAATCTGATAACATAGAATTTAACGTTGCAAAGCAGAATTGATTTAGAATGACAAGCAGAACAAGTGGAATAATACCGGGGACAGTTCAAAGTGAGAATAGTAATAGTAACAATTGACGTAATAAAGGAGAAGTATAAAAATTGAATAGACAAAATGAAAAATATTGGTAGAGCCAAAATATGATTAGGGATTACCATACTTTAGCACAGAGGGATCAAGACCATGAAAGCTGGAGGGGTTGAACGAACTTTTCTGTACACAGAGAGATGTGGCTTTTTGGTTACGACAGTCAAAGCTTCAGCAATACAGATGAATCGGGTACATAGTGATTTTGGTAAATTACTTTTTGCCTTGTAGATGACTTTAAAGGTGGAGGGTATAGAGATAGGGTGGTCATTATCGACCAGATGTCCAATGATCGCTCTTCTTATTGCTCCACTTCCACCTCTTCGTAGCCATGCAGGATAGTGTTCTTGCACACTCTTGAACAAAACTCGAGTAGAACGACCGACATACCTAGCTCCATACAGGTAGGTGAACTGATAAAGGCACATAGAGTTGGTCAATAGCGGGATCTTGTCCTTCAGGTTATTGAACAGTAATGGACGACTGGTAAAGGCTATTTTTTATTTTTTTTATTTTTGATTACAGCTTGATTCCACACCGTATATTTGGTACAGGTATGGAATTTTCAGCATGGATACCGGTAGTCCAAATTTTGCGGGCCGACCATAGATATCAGGTGTACATCGGCAGGGGACCAAACCTCGGACCATGTGCATGGTCGGCGAGAGTCCTAACCACTGTGCCACCGACGCACACAAGATGCAGCAGGAAATGTTCTTTTCAGGGACTGTGATATCCTTCTTTTCATGATATCGGAAGCTAAGTCACCCTTGAATTACAAACCCACGTACAATATTTTCTTGGGTGCGGATGGTAAGTCACGTTTCATAGGATTTGAATATATATTCTTGTCTATAAGACGTGGTGGAAATCCATTTTCCATTAGGATTTTCCTCAAGAGATTTAACTCATCTTCCACAGTATCAGGGATACATATGCGCCGAATGCGTGTGGCAAGCGACCGGACCAGGTTTCTTTTTCGACCAATGGGTATCCAGCTGTAGACATTCCTCAGTTGACCATACCATGACAACTTTCGATAAATCGATCTCTTAGGAGTTCCATCGGTCCTCCTTGATAAGTTCACATCGAGGAAATGAATACTAGACTCGTTCTCCATTTCGAGTGTGAATTTTATCGCTGAGTGGCCAAACATTAAGTGCATTTAATATATCATTCAAATTACTATAACTATTACAAATAATAAAGATGTCAACTGCATACCATTCATACTTTTGAAAACTGCGGATTGTTGACTTAAACTAACCATTTTCTAGACTGGTCATAAAACAGTCTGCAAGGAGAGGATCCAAGGGAGAACCCACTGCGATGCCATCCTTCTGTATGTAGATTGTTTTACTGAAGGTAACCCGTGCATTCAATGTACGTCTCAAAAGTGATTCTTTCAAATATGTAGTGGGTACCCCTATATTCAATTTGTTGTCTTCAATATATTTGCATATAAAACATATAGTTTCTGCCAGTGAAACGTTTGTAAACAGGGATTCTACATCCAAAGACAACATATGTTTGTTCGTTGACAAGAGTCTCTCCGCGGAATCACCTGTTTTGCTTGTGTATATGAGTGTAAAAGTCAAGTGTATTTCTGATCTAGAGAAATTGCAAGAAGTTTTCCAGTGAATCTTCATGAACCACAATAAAGCTAATGAGAGACTAGTGAGTGAAATGAGCTAAGTTTCGTTTATGTGCCTGTGCAATTCGTCGCACATATTCAAATGATTTAGATTCACGAGGTGAAGGAATTACTACAAATCATTATTATTTTACCTACCCTTTGTTCAGCATCACTGGATCGTCGTCTTCCATTCGTATACTCCATAGAGCTTTCTAATTCTTTGAGTTCTTTTTGAGCTGCTTTTACTTCTTCACGTAGAGTGTTTGTCATTGCTTTTTCCTCTTCATACAATTGTTTATAATTGAGCGTTTTACTAGCAGCACTACTTAAATCCTATAAAAGTAATATATAATCAAGAGTGTAAAAAGAAATAAATTTGTTTCAATCATATTTGATTTCACTTTTATGCCTAGACTAATTTAATTATCTCATACAAATATATACAGTATTTGAAGATGATTGCATAAATCTCATTTTCTTTGCAACTACCATATCATCAAGGACTTTGATTGTTAGCGTCAGTGGCACAGTGGTTAGGACTCTCGACGACCATGCACATGGTCCGAGGTTCGAGCCCACACCGGCGCACACCAGATATCTATGGTCGGCCTGCGATATTTGGGCTACCGATAGCCACGCTGAAAATTCCATACTTATACCAAAAATACAGTGTGGAATCAAGCTGTTACCAAAAATAATTTAAAAAAAATAAAATAATAAAATAATAACATAGTGCTTTTCGTAAACTTTCACAGGAATGCTTGATTCACATAACAACATATGGATAGCTTAGTGTTCAAGTCATGATACAATCCGACACCGCTTTTTAATAATATATGTGCAAAACTTGGGCACTGTGGTAGTAAGTAATTCCATATTAGTTTGTTTATTAGATATATCACACAGTGAAACAGTATTAGTATTGACTGGATGACGTTTCAAACAAAATTTATTGTTCATAATCATATCAATTGTGATCACACGATTTTGAAACTTGAGTTTTATAGTGTTCTTTGTTTCTACTATTTGTCGTATGGGTAGTAGAATCCTTCAGATATCAGGGACAGGTGTTGAATCATTCCTATTACATGTATTTGCAGTTGATTCGATAAACAGAGCTTCTGTTGTCAATCTCTCCCTCCACCCTGCCACAATATTAGATTTTAAAACTGTCATTTTGTCCCATCCAACCTATTGTATGGTTGGGTGTAACTGCATGTAGTGAGTGCTACAGCTGGACAATTCTCTAGATTTCTTATCTTATTCGGGTCAACCAGTCTAGATTTAGCTAGGTTTTTATGTTCGGCTAGTCTGACCTATGTATTTGACCTGACAATCATCTCAGACAGGGCATTAGATAGACGAAATTGTTTTGTTTTAAAGGCTCCACAGGATCCTTTGGCCGACAAAGCTTGTTTCTATTTGAGTTTGTGGGTCTGAATGCCAGCCACTTTTATTCCTACCTTGTTAAGAATTCTGCGTAAGGTTTCCGAGGTTCCTTCCTTCCACACAAGGAAGGAACACCTGTCCCTGATATCTGGAGAATTCTACTACCCATACGACAAATAGTAGAAAACAAAGAACACTATAAAACTCAAGTTTCAAAATCGTGTGATTACAATTAATATGATTATGAACAATAAATTTTGTTCGAAACGTCATTCAGTCAATACTAATACTGTTTCACTGTGTGATATATCTAATAAACAAACTAATATGGAATAACTAACACCGCTTCATTCAGATTCCAGAGATCAGAATATACCACCAGCATATATAGACTGGTACATTGACTGGTAGTAAAGCAGAGAAATAAATGACTGGTGTTGAAGTTACTTCTTGAAATATTCTAGTCTTGATAGATGGTTGTCAGATGTCATTTTGAAGTATATACTGATACAAAAGACACAGTCAGATTTCAATCACTTCTTTGATGAACTCATACGACTATAGTCTAGCTGAACAAGACCCGTGTCTTGTAAACTTAAGTTTTTACTGCTACTTCTGTACAAAGTAACCGTGAAGGCTTCTAAATTTAATCATCCACCACAAAGAACACAACAACACGAAAAGCATCCATTTGAGTTACAAGCCCTCTCTACTATTGCGAAATTAAATTGTTGAATGGTGCATAAATTGAGAGAATAAATTTGTTTCTCTTAACTTCTGCGGTTGGGTCTTGTAGTTCAGCGAACACCACATGAATGCACATACACATACACACACTTACGAACACATTAACAGACGAAATTCATGTTGGATTCAACGAGGAACATTCATTGCATACTATTACAGAGGTAAGGAACCCTCTGTAATAATATGCATTGGATAGAGGTCTATGTTAAAACCTCCATAGAAACGGACTTTTTTTTGAATAATCTTTACAAGACAGAATACTTAACAAAATAGGGGAAATCATCTATCACAGGATACATCTCAACTGCAGTATAGTCTGGATTCCTCCAGACAAAGGATAGAAAACACTAACAGCCTCACAGACAACTAGCAGGAATTATGAATACAAATTTCTTAACCATAAAAGTGTGGAATCATTTTTGTTCGCCTGTTACACAGTGTCTGTCGTTCACTTGAACTTCCCAGTACTTTAATTGAATTCTATGAGTTAAATAAGCCTGAGAGATAGCTGTAAGTGGTACACTAAATCATGTCGTCAGGGCAGAAGTTTTGAATATGAATCCAGTCTGGTTTTAGAAGAATGTATACTGTTGTATTCTAACATTATATTCAATTAAATGACTACTCTGTAGATATGATTGCCTCTACTTCACTTTATTTTATTTATTACCACTAATATGTTTTCATAAATTGCATATATTTTTGTTACATGACTGCATGACAGAGACGGGGATTATTCTCAATAATCAATTTATCCACTTCAACTACTCAATGCACAAAAGGTAGTGATCTAAGCTACACGAAAACAGCTGTCTTTTTCGCAAGCTAGCCATAAGAAAATAAATTCAATGATCGGTAGCTGACTATTCAGATTTCATTTCCCACTACAAATGCTACACTTATCCATCGATGGAACCATGTATTAATTAGACTACATAAGGTAATCCTACTATAGCAGAATGATCTCTAGTTTACATATTTCTGCGATCAGAACTAGGCTACAGTTTACTCACCATTTTCATTTCAAGGCATCAACTTTCTGTCTACACTGGACCATTAGAGCATAATACTGTGTGTGAATCGAAATAAAACTCAGTTAATCAAATATTCTGTAGAATCGCTCAATGCTTATCTCTACTACTTGAAAATATGTGAGGTACAATTCATGATGATAACACAACACACATAATAAGACTAGAATGAGTTGGTGTAATTTTAAATTCGGAGTTACACCCTACATGTGTATGATTGTCAAGGTTGGATAAAACAAAACATAACTGGAAAGAGAACTTTCTGACAAACAGAACAGTATAAACCTACTGTGTAAATCACCACCTAATTGCAGGCAATCGACGGCGAACCCTTGACCTCAGTTTTGGTGCTTATTGGTACCTTGTCAGCAAGACGTTTCTGAATTGGATTTCCTTTTATCCTCTACCTTTCCTAACATCCATGACACACACAACTGCTGGGGATAGAATACATCTGAATGCTACACATCCTTAGTCATTCCTTTCAAATACTTCTTACTTACAGAACTACTAATTTGATAAAAAGCTGAGAGTAAGCATCGAATGTTACGATAAAGTACTGAAATAGCACAACCTGAATTGACTGACACCATTGTGACTTACGGTTTCTGCTAATGTAAGAAACAATCTCATAAGAATCGGCGTGAATAAGTAAGAAAACGTATCTGTGTGTATCTTCTTAACACTGTTTGTCTGTTTCAAATAGGGAAGTGTATATCATCCGCCTATGCTATGTGAAATGACTTAAAATTTACCATAATGGCACAGATTTGCATTATCTCCCATTTTCATGTTTATGCTTTAAATGGAAGTCAAACGTAAAGCTTTTTACTAGATTTCAGAGATAACTGTCTTAGTATGGTAAATATACCTGCACTGAAGATGTTGTCTAGAAGGACAACGAGAGCTTCATCACAATTAAACCAGCCAGCTCAGAGAACACAACTAATTCAAAGTGAGTTGAGTGGTGTCCGTTGATTCTTACCAACTATCCTTCACACTCGGAATGATATCCAGAAGAAAAATAATTCGATATTTCAAATTATAGTTCTGTTGTAAAAGTATGGGAATCGTTGTATTTGAATAAACCATAGAATTTAGAAACAGAACCTTAAGGTGTTGGACAAAATGTGAAAAGGTTTCACAGTGATATTTAGGCTCATTTTTAGTAACTGCAAGCCGTATGCCTCATGAGAATATATACAGTAATGTATGAACGCGTTCTTCCCTTGAAAAAAAATTTTTTATAGCATACACTCTAGTTACTGTGTTAGTATTACAGTAATGACTGGCTTTTTCTGTTGGTTAAGATGGCTAGTATCATTCTATATTTTTTTATTCTTGGAATGATCAGTGTGAAATGCCTGTTGACCTGTTTCAGTAACTAAGTTACCAAGGTGAATGACGTGATATTATACAGAGGTGTGTCTAGTCTGATAAAAAACAACAGGTTCCCCGATTTCCTGGATGTGCAAACGTTCAGAACATAAAACTGCTTCTGAGAAAAATGACGGTTAATATATCAAGCTTATTCTAGGTACAGAAAATCACTAACGAATTTCACGAGACAAATTAGTCTTTTGTGTGAACTGAAATTCTACAGATACACATTTCCAAATTGATAATCACGGTGATTTGATTTGTATCTATATTGTCAGTGGACTATGATGACTAAGTCTGCCATCTAACGATAATGTGTCAATAACGCAGTGTTACGAGCAGTCGGTCACGCGTGAAATAGCTTCGGTGTAGAATTTGTGGTCCTATAACCACATAACTTTCTTGACATGAAATATCTCGATCTAAAGAATGTTAACAAATGCTAAATCTTGACGGTAGGTTTCATAGTCACTGCGTAATAATTATTAAATAAATTTGATGTTTCCTAACTGAAAGAAAGTCGAATAGAAATGCAGTACTTTTTGACGTACACACCAGAAAAGAATTCTGAAACTTTACAACTGAGGCGGGAGTAATAATAATAGTTCAGGTTAGAAGTCGTTATCTGTCACATACACACACACACACACTAAGTTCCTTTAGGCTGAGAGAAATATCATCTTTGCCCATTTACACCGAAGTTCAGAAGAGTAGGCACAAAGAATAGCGTTGAATAAGAACTAGAAGAATTTGAGAACAAGTTATATTAGAATAAATTTTTCTTAATTTTTGTCGTCAGTAATCTGAAAGTTTTAAGACATATCCACGTGAAGTAATACTGAAATCTTAAGAGATCACACCTTTTCATCATGAGCCGATATCGGTTACAAAACCATTGGAAAACCAGCACGGAGTACTGGACAACAGCCTCATCCTAGTTTGAGACTCTTTCTTCACCAGTGCGCATCCACCACCAGAGTTCCAACTCAAGACCTCCCAGGCGAGCCCGTAGACAATTTAACCACTGGGATCCAATCCAGTGGCCAGCCCATGAATTCTAATTTTAGCCAATTCACGACATAGCGCAGCCACTAGCCATTGTCATCGGTGGTGAGTCTTCTAACACCCAACATGCTGTAGCTCGCTTGTCATAAAGTCTCACTAGAACCCAGGTAACTACCTACTTGAACGGTAACGTCCTCTTCTTGTGATCTGCTAGTTATGGGATCGATTCATAATCAGATCATTGGTATGTACTACTGAAGAGTCTAAATTTAAGACGAAAAAAGGTTTTCAGTACTGTTTCGGTTGATAATGAAATCTACACCTTGATAATCTCCAAAGATGTGAAATTTATAGATACAAAAATTTATTAGTTCACTAGTTTGTTTCACCTATCACTGCTAAATTTCATGCTATCTGAGTAATTTATACGTCGACTAAAACATCACTACTTGTTGAATATTTGAGGAAGATAACTTTCTATGAATCTTAATTCACTTTACCTTACTGACTTCTTATGATAACTGGACAGTTATTTATTTGGTGAGAAAACTTAGAAGTATCACCAATAAAAAATACATTGTATGCATGTGAGTAGTGGTATTTCTTACGCAATATGTTCCGAGAACGAATGGAGAGTGTTCATTTCATTTGAGTTATTTAGAATTATGTGACTGTTCACTTCCAACATAAACCCATACCACTTGACATTCAAGTATTTGTGCTCGATCTGTAGTTTACTAAGCAAATATCACTGTCTAACAACACTGATCCTCAGATATATTACTGTATTTCCAACGATTTACTTGTTGTCCAAATTCGGTTTACTAACTATTTAGTGTTCATTAGTCAAATGAATAAATATGAGTCGGCGGTTAACACACATGGGACTATAGTATCAACTTTGCTGATCAATACAAACTCCTCCGCCCAAAAGAAAAAAATAGAATTCAAAAGTACAGTTCTTTCAGTAAATGGAGTTATTGTCATGTATTAAATTTTAAGGAATTTAAACTCTGGGGACGATTAACAGTTTACTATGACCTCCTTAACTTACACAAAACCCTCTTGGAATAGTGTTAAATTAAAATTTTGAGTAAAAAAAGACTGCTTAATGAAAATATGCTTTAAAACGAATTACTTACTGAATTCCATGATGAACTTGTGCCTATTCCACCAGTTGTATATCCAGTACTGGTGCCAATTTTGTTTGGTGATCTGCGTGGATACTGTGGAAGTCCTGAGTAGGAGGCGGCAGATGTACTACTTACAGCAGTACTGCTAGAACCAGTCCCGCCAGTGCTACTACCACTGCCAACTCCACTGTTACTAGAAATACCTTGTGGACGACTTAAATACCATGATGGTTTCGATGTATCCGTCTAAATGGTAGAGATGTAAAAAAAACAGAAGTAAATTAAAACACTAACATTCACTCATTCAATCTATCTTTTTTTTTACAAAATCCTAGTGGTTTAGCAAAATATTTAACTGAGTGCGATCGTTTTCGTCTGGTTCCATGACTGACCAAAAGTCTACATCTCAACTACACATCACTGACTCCATACCCTTGTTGGATGCCCAACCAATCACTTTGCATTGAGGTTCTACTTGATGACTTGGAATGTGGTGTCACTAAATAGTCTGTTCAGCATATGTCCAATCCATCTCCAATTCCTTCAGTATATTTACGGGATACTAGGTCCTTAACTGGTTCGCAGAAGCAATACCAGAGTTCCTTGCTGTTTATCCTTTCCGGCCGGCTATCTGACCTTTAGTATCCAGACAGCTGTTTATGATGATATATAGCGGGCGACTGGTAATGCTTTTCAATGTGATACACGTCTTATAGCGTGTGGAATCCCCTACAATACCATTGCACATCCATTTGTTAGATGTTGAAATTAGAAACATTGTACACGATTTTCGATTAAAACGATTCATGTTAAAATATAGATAACTTCCGAGTACAATCTGAAATACAGTGTACTGCTGGTCGCTTCGTCTTCTCACTAGTCTATACTGTCCACTTATTTCACTACTGACAGTGTTGTATACTTTGGATTTTTCAGGAAACCCTTATCCTCATCCGAAGACTATTCCACAACCGGTGCACAGCTTCTACCAATAGACACGACTCCAGGAGTGAACACTTTCGGAATATATTAATAATTTGTAGCTGTGAACTTTAACTGTATATTCAAGTAACCGATAAAATGACATAACTCATTACCGTATTTTTCATAATATACTGTTATACTATCATCTCATTAACTTGGATTTTTATTCAAATACTTGTTCTGTTACTGAGCTCGCTAGAAAGTCCACTTCAAGCTCTCTGATATATATATATATATGTAATAACTTGATTTTAGTACTGAAAATTCAGATCTTGTTCGTTGTTCTATACTATGATGTAGATCTCCACTCTCATTTTAGAGTAAAGAATCCCTCTCTTACCTTCCTATCCGACTGTGCCGGCTGTAGTTAAAATGATGCGGTGCAGTGAAGAGTAAGAGACGACTAACTTAAGGTTTTTCCCATTCATAGTGACTGGTACTTGTTCTTGTTGGTAGGGCGTCTTCATCATCTCTTTCTTCTCTAAGTTCTCCTGAAATTCCGTCTTCGCATACTTGTCCCCCAACCTGATGGTTTTCTTTTGTAAATCTTCAAATTTGTGCAAAATCACGCATAAATCACTTGCGAAATCCAGATATTTTGTCGGCCAAACGTATGCCTGCCTTCCCACTCCCCACAATCTGATGCATGGTCAAGTTCGATACAGTTAGAAAGGTCGTCAGTTATAGTAGTTATACGACCTTATTGTATCTGCATATTCACTTCAATAGCCTAACTAAGCTTTCTGTTGTGCATTATTTAACATCTGGTACCGTTTTACAGCTTTTGAATGAAGTTAATATGTGTCTGTATAGAGAACTCCGTAGTGTTGAAGTAGTTTTCAAATTATTTCGTGGGTAACGCTGTCAGGAGCATTCTTAAAGTCGAAGAGGATAAGTCTCTGTTTGATGATGATGCGTAGTGGTATTTAATCCATGCATACGGTGCTAATCCTGAACCCGTCCTGTCTCGGGTGCAGTCTTCCATCTAGTGCATCTTTTCGTTTCTTCATGATGATGCAGCCCAATATTCTGCTTGGGCAGACAAAATTAGTATCTCACACCAGTTCTCGTGAAGGCTCAATTTGTTATTCTTCGGCGATTTGACAAAGCAGTTTCCCCTTCAATCGTTGGGTACGTTTCCTTCTTTCCACACCTTCTGCATTAATGTCTTTACGCCTGTTTTCAATTTGCTTGGTGGGCTCCAGCCGGAACCTTAAAATGTGTAACAGTAAACGTTGACGTTAAATCTTATGCTTTTACGATGTCTCCAATCGATCCCCCATATTAGGTTACTCTGTTGATCGTTTGTTCACTCCGGTTCTGTTTATCACAAGCAGGTAGGTCTGAAGTCTCATTCAGTGGGACGCTGTAGTAATCCAGAGGCTGCTGGGTTTTTTTTCCTATCCCTATCCATGCCTTAGCTTTACCTTCAAAATCAACCATTTAAGTATTATTAGCCAGTCAGCCGAAGGTTATCTCGAATAGTGCTGCCAACAGTTCCTACACAAAGTTGAATTCACTAACTTTATTAATATAATCTTTGATGGAGTTAAGTTTCCTAACTGAAATTGTAGACCAGTGTTTCAAACCTGCTTAAAGCTTTCACACATGGTCATTGTAATGGTCTACATGACCAACCTTTTCAAGTTATAAATTTGTAAAAAATAGGTTTTCCGGTTAAAATGAAAGAAAAGGATATTAGATGTAAGTTAACTATTGTAGATGTGATTTTCAATTAATTAATGATGGTGAAAAAGACTTATTGCAGAAGTTGTTCTTGGCAGAAACAGAATTTATGACGATTTTCAAGTTTGATATAAAAGTCACTCCATAAAAAACAACTCTATTCATTAATCAAGGATCACCGAATGTTGGTAAACAGAGTATGATCTCATGATGTAGAGATCATACATGTGCCTCTTGTTGCACAACAATACAGTCAATAATTTCTAGTGAATTAAGCATAAACTTGACAAATATCGGATGATGGACTAGTTGCTGATCACTCTCTCCTAATGGCTTCAAAAGTAAAAATCTCAACACACTGAATTTCAAGAATTTAAACACTAAAAATCCTGGCTTAAAAAACCAAATAATTTTTGTAACAACACTTTTGAGTTCGAGTCACATAAACTGTTGTGACATATGAAATAAAGTTAAGTACAGAGGTACACAGGGAGTTAGTAAGCCTTTCCTTAGAAGTTATACTTTAAACAATTCAAATGCAAAGCAACACATCTAGATTTTTAGTGGTCATTAATAAGTTTACCCCCTCCCCACTCAAATAGTAAAATAAATGTTTGGATAGCAGAGGATTCAAGTTAAGTAACACTTGATGAAATAAGGATAACAAATGTATTATGTCAACGACTGTTAGATTTATTCCCTCTTATGAATTCGAACAAAGCAGTTTATGCAGGATAACATGGTACCATCATTGTATGTTTCGTTGGCTTCTCATCAGCTCATCTGCACGCAACCCAAAGACATTATTAAGTTCATGTACAGAAACAACTTTAACATACACAGTGAGTTCATTTTTAAACAAAAAAATCACTATACGCATTCAATAATAACAATAATCACTTTATCCCAAACAATAATAACCATACAAAGTTGAAATTTTCTGGCGTTACTCAGACAAATGAAAGAGTGAGAATGAAAATATCCAGTTACCAGAGATGATGACTGCTTTTTTGTGAACACATAAATCGAGTTTCAGACGTGTAATAGAGATTTCTTCGACAAACTTGAGAAGAATTGACCTATTTTGTCTACTGATAATTTTAAACAATTTCGCCATTACCATCTCATGACCCGTATCAAGGAGATACCCAGTTATTGCACTATTGTAAGCGTTTGTTCCCTTGAGACGTCGGCTTTCCGGTACATATTCAGAAATATCGTAGGTGTGCCCTTCTTTCTGTTCTCCTAGTAAAACTGCTCCCACAGATACACGCAAAATTTGTATACACAGTTGCAGTTAACATGAGAAAGGCATTTGTTGACTTTTGATCGCACCGAAAAGCACGTTATCCAATAGACGGGAGCCAACTTACCTGTATTATAGGTTCTGGTTAGTGAGGCAGTCAATCTTTTGTTAACTACTGCTACAACATTTTCATCTTGAAAGTCGAGTTTAATGACGACAGGCTTTTTTCCCCACTGTGATTTGTTTGATACTTGTTAATGAACCTCTTAGGGGGTAACCGTTGTTTTTCAACCCTCTCTCTTTTCGAGAATCATAAATTCTTCCTCTAATTTCCCTGAAGGACATATTCTCCTAGCTCTATGGTACAGAGTCTTAAATAGTATTCGTATTTGAATGAAAACGATTAGAATGCAAGTACAGCGGATTCATTCATTCCATGTCGGCTTTTTGTATATTTGACCACTATTCTTTTGTTGCGGTATCTCATACTTTAGAAACTGATGAGCTTATTTTATTTATTATGATAAAACAATCTAATCGACATACTTTAACGTTAGATTTCTGTTGTTGTCGTTATTGTTATTTTTTAGTTAAAACCAGTATTTAGTTAAATAGCGCTTCGTCTATATACAAATTCATTAAAGACGAAATTTATCAATATAGACTGCCACATAGAGTAGAGGGTAACGTGTGATGGTGAGGCCGTAAAATTATTTTTCTTTTCTCAAACGTTTCTAATTTGTAATTCTATTTTTACTCAAGTATCAATTTTTTTAAAACAAGAAAAGTGGAATTCAAGACATCATTCACTTTAGAACTGTTAATTGGATAACCCAGTTAGCCTACTGAATTGTTTTGCATATAAATAGAGAACGATGATCAATCAACTCAACTCAACTTTCTGTCACTTCTTCACAAATTCTTGTCGTCACCATGCGAATTTACAGTGAAAAGTAGCGAAACCGAAAGTATGCAGATATATATATATATATATATATATATATATATATATATATATCAAAGACTGGCTGATTTCGTCGCCTTGCTGTACCATTAGCATACAAACACACAAGAACGTGCACATACATATAATAAGAGTATTCCGTTACAATTCCAGGAAGTTGGTGAATACAATATTTTGTCTGTTTGTTTGTCTTCGCTAAATATTCTATTCTGCTTTTTTCAAACAAAACAAAAACAATTATTTTCGATCAAATTAAAACTAAGAAAACGGTATTTTCATTATTTAGTCTTCTAACGGTCAAGATTAAAGTTGATAACTTGACTATTAGGTGAGCAAAGATAACAATATTTCTAAAAATACTCTTTC